CCTCAAAGCTCTGGACATGATTGCGGTCAGATTCGTGCAGGTCTGGCCGTCCTTGCGGTCAGATGCATTTTGGCAAGTGCTAGTGTGCGCATGCCCTCAGAAAGGCATTCTAGGAATCTAGCATCTCTTTAGAGGGGCAAAGCAGGAAACACTGCATCTTTGGGTGACACAGCACAATTTTTCACTTTCAAAAAATGTTTGCCCACCTCACAACCACTAGGTTTATCAGACTTTATTCATAAACACATTGGATAACTTGCAAAATACCCCCATAAGTTGAGATATATGCCAAAATGCCCCTATAAGACGAGGGTAGAGCAGAATGCCCCTCTGACAAAATAAATATTTTGTGAAACTCCCCTGGCATCTGTTTGACCCCCATCTTTGCGATATACCCCTACGGCGTACCCTCCAACTTTGTTGGACACCCTCCTGACAGGGCCACAACACAGAGGTTTCGGCCCAAAAGGGCATTTCGCTCTACCCTCATTTTTCAGGGGCATTTTGGCATTTATCTCAACTTATGGGGGTATTTTGCAAATTATCCCTAAAAACATTCTTAACTCATTAGAGAATAAAGGAAAGACAGAACACTGAGATAAGGCAATACCGTAGTCCAATCCGCTAGCAGAGGAAGGAGAGTGCCACCTACCGGTAGCTCATGTGGGTCAATGGTACACCCAATGCATGTTACCGTTGATCAACAGACCTCCGTTCTGGATGCATCTGGCCGCAATGTCACACACAGATTATTCGAAAAAGTCCTGCCCGACTTCACCCGAACAGAACGCCCTGTCGTTATAACGGTATTTGGTGCAACTTTCAGTCCAGATGCGCCGTAATGATCGGGCGTTCTATTCGGGTGAGGAGGGGTGGTGTGAGTGAGCCCTCAAAAGACAAAAACACACGTCGGATAACCGTACGGTAGAAGTGCACAATGGAAACGACGACGACACTTTCCGTTTTAGGAAAAGACGTAGGAGACGTCGCTGAAAAGGGAAAACGAACCTAGAGAGCCTGCAGGCAGGGGATCGACGTGAAACGAGCTAGCGGGAGCTCGGACGATCACCTCGCTCGCCATCGCCCCGGCGTTGTCTCGCTCCTCCTCCCTCCCCTTCGTCCTCGTCCTCCTCCTCCTCCTCCTCCTCCTCCTCCT